CACTAAACTCTTTTGATAAAAGAACTCTGCGATTTCAAGACACTAACTTCATTCCTGAACTTGTCGAAGCAAAATTTAATCTTTCTTGTCTTAGGAAGCCTACCTTAAATTTTCTTTAAATAGCTTTCTCCAGTAGGCGAAGAATATATTTATAAATAGCAAGCAAACATTTAATGAAATCATATACTTACCGGCCACATTAATTCTATCAACGCAGCCGATGGACACTTTTGACTTCTTGATATTAGATGGTTGGAGGTAATCGGCATGACCTAGCCTTCGTGCTAGTTGGCACTCACCAGTCAGCAAGGCGTATCTGCTACCTTCAAGGAACTCATGTCCCTTCAGAGTTTCAAACCCACGTCATACAGTACTGCAGTCAGAGACGTTACCACTGAGCTATTCGGGTTCGCAACTGACCTCCTGTAGGACTGTATGAGGACTGTACTTTGACAGAACAGTAGTTAGTAACTAGTTTAGTGTGTTTAGTCCTATCTTTGGTGCAGACTGAATTCTATCAGTCAAGTTTGCAATGTGGCTACCATGCTAGGTGACTTGCCGTCACGGTGAACTTTAAATCGTCAATATTAGGTGGTTGGAGGCAGATACACAGCCTGGCTGACTGATGAGTGCCAGCTAGCATGGAAGCTAACTCATGCAAGTCTTCCTGCAGAATGCCTCTAACCATCTAATATCAACTATTCACAGTGCACCATGATGGCGAGCTACCTGGATTGCTTGCCACATTGCAATCTTGACTCATAGAATTCAGTCTGCAACAAACAAAGTACCAGACACACTATACTAGTCAGTGGCTAGTGTCTAATCAAAGTACTTATACTTCGTCAGTTGCATTGATAGAATCAAATATTTCTATGCCGATTGCAACCTAATTAATACCATAAAGTTAGTTCACTTATTTCACCCAACATACAACGGCGGATTGTTAATAACCTGATAATGTTTTGATTACATTCTGTTGCTTGAAGTTACATAACTTTCAAAATTAAAAAAGATATTTGTTATTATAGCATTAGAAAGGCTATTTTTAACTAATGATTAATGTCGGTGAATTCTGGTATGTTAAGGGGGTCACTCCTTGAATAATACGATGATAATCTACGCAGAAATAAATACAAAATTAACACGCTAGGATTCCCATAAAAGCCTAGGTCAGTCAAATAACCTACCGTCGAGTTGTGTATGTTTCTGGTAAACTTCTGTATTTCTTTGCATCCTTTGTCAGTTTTACAGGGTTTTTATGAAAGAACTGTAAGAAAACAAAACTCCTGTGCTTAATACTGGTAATGTCATTATGCATTGTGAAAAAATTACAAATTTATTTGGGGAGGGATTTATGTAGTTAGTTCAGAAATTTCTACAGGATTTTTCAGCTTCTGTACACATTCTTTCACATAACTGCAGGCAAAAAATATTTTATAGCAACGAATTCATTTTCATAGCTGTACAGTCGTATTTATAGGTGGATGGCAATCGAGAATAATGAGTACATTTGTTACGTGTTCTCTGTAATCCTTGTTAAATGCCACAATGGAGATTTTTAATTTAATACTTTTAAGCTTTAGAGGATACAAACTGTCTAAAGAGTGTAACAAATTAACAGTGAAGACAGATGACAATAAGTGCATTGAGTTATATTCCTCAGGACAAAATGCAGTTACCATAGTAATAATAATATTTCTGAATATGATAATGGTAATGATGATAATTCTAAAAGAGACGCAATAATAATGATGAATGCTAAAAGGGTTAGAGTAGAATTTGGGCACTGTAATAGAAAATAATTCCATGCTAGATAAATTCCTTTGAAAAAATGGATAATGATAACAACTGGATGGCCTACCAAGCACAATTTATCGCAATATCACCATCATCCACTTGTCGAAAATGTTCACTTTCAAACGTGAAAAGGATGTTGTCAGTACATAATAGTAATAAATTTTTCAAATAAGTTAAAGGAAAAAAGAATGAAAAACAGCTAGAAGATATGTAGTCACAAAGAATATCAACAGTCTTAATCAATGTTACATTAGTAAACATCGGCTATGAATTTGCTTTTGTTATTAGGGACGGAAAAAATTTTTATTTTGTAATAACTTCTCTGTTGCTATGAGGAGTTCATTAGGACCTTTGTTAGAGGACGTTTACATGTCTTATGTTGAGAACTTGTCCCTTGATTTAATTTCCAAATTGCCCTTGTATAGAAGATATGTAGATGATATCATTTTGATATGTGACGATTATGAAGATGCGAGTCTTCTATTTGATAGACTTAACTCTGTACAGAATCACATAAGTCTTACATGTGAGGAAGAAGGTCGCAGCCAGCTTGCATTTTTAGACATACTTCTGAGTCGAAGAGATGATGTTCCAATTTACAGAAAGCCCACTTGGACAGGACAGTACCTTAATTTTCACAGTTTCTGTCCATTACAGTATAAGATAGGCTTGGTGAAATGTCTGTTTAAGCGGATTCAACGTATTTGCACGGCTGATGTTAAAGAGAAGGAAAATGAAATATTAATGGATACTCTTGTTGAAAACGGATATCCTTTAATATTTTCAAACAGGTGTAGAAGTCAATTAGCCTTTAAACCTATAGTCTATACCACCCCTAAGAAAAATGTTTTCATCAAATTACCATATAACAGGGAAATAAACAGTAGGATTTTGAGACAAAGGTTGAATTCGGTCATCCGTAGGACCTATCATGCAGCCCGGCTTGTAATTATCGAAAAAGCCAAAAATATGCTCCACTGCAAACCTCAGAAGTGCACAAGTGATTATGTCACATCCCACACTATTTACCAATTTTCGTGTGTGCGTGGACACACATACATAGGGAGGAGTAATCGTGCTTTGCAGGTGAGGGTGGGAGAACATATCCCGAAATGGTAGGAAAAACAAATGAATAGACGCAGGGTCAGACTACCAACTTCGTCTATAGCCAAACATCTAATCGAGATGAACCATAAGACTGATGTTAACACAGCATCTAAGGTCATCCATAAAAATGGTCAAGGGCGCTTATGAAACACGTTGAGGCTATAGCTATTCATAAACCCAAGCTCCCACCCCTATGTATTAAAAAAAAACCTACCTTGGTAATCCTTATTTGATTAGATTACCAAACGTTGTGTTAATCATTCTTAAATCCTTTTTTTGTCACTTTGTTTGATTTAATGGCCCTTAATTTTCTCATATCTATCGATTTGACAAGTAAATGTGCGATCGGATTGTTCGAAATGTATAGCGCAAATACATCACATATTTCGGATAATCTCCATCTTCTAATAACATTATCCAAATTATTCAATGGGACTAACTGTTGGAAATGAAATAATCACAGAAAATAACCACAGAAAACCAAGGAGTACTGGACAGCTTTTTTGGTCTGGTTTGCACTCATCATCCGCATGAACGCATTGGAGTTCGAATCTTGCACCTTACAGTTACAAGAAAAGCTTGGATACCATTCAACCGATGGGAGCAAACTCACTAACCAGACCATGGTTTCTAACTTCTAACATTTCATTATTTTAGCGTAACCGGCACCAGTCAATTTCATCCTCACTCCTGACCGGAGTGACATCACTGGTAACAAATTCTCACTAGAAACCCTGGCAAATTCGTTCTGTAGTCAGTCAGTCAGATTCATTTTCAAGTATTAGTTTGTAGAAATTGGGAATTTGATTACGGATTGATATCAGTTAGAAAACCACTGATAACTTGAAAACCAGAAGGCTTCGGGTTCATAAGTCAGTTGGTGAGCACTACAAATGAGTTCAAAACTTGGACAAAACATTTGTGAAGTGCCTTCTGGTCTTTAGTGGCCCTCTAACGGATATCACTCCGTTATAAAACTTGAAACCAATGAAATCCCAACAAACGAACTATTGAAACGGAAATAATTGTAAACATGACAAAAGCAGGTCATCAAAAGAGCTTGGTAATACAATGAAAATGGATAAGCGTAGTAATGTCAGATGAACGATAGCAACATATGGTGGAGATTAAACAGTAGGATACATTAACAGCTAATAGAACCGCAGTTTATTTACCAGATGGCTGTTACCGCTGCAATCTAGAATGCACATTTCATTGTTAATCAGGCTGAGCATTTACATGCACTCATATCCCGATGATGGCATTCACCATGGGACTCGAACTCAGCGCTCATCTTTCCAGGCATCATATAAAACATATGATATTATTCAGAAAAGCAGGTTTGACTGGGCAGTTTGATGGAGGGATCTACCTATCCAAAAAATTGCAAATAAATACATTGTATATACTCTCAGTTTTTCAGTTCACTCGAATCACAACTCTAATTTGGAATTTGTCTGAACATGCACTCCAACTTTTCACCTCATGATTTTATATAGCATTTTTACTGATAGCTGTGAAATAATTTAAACATTCTCATTACCTCGTATCAGAATAACAAAAATGCCGAGGTTCAAATGAACCATTCATACTGGTAAACCATAACTTAAGTTCACATAGGATGCATCATCACTTGTTTATGTTTCGCTAACCACGAGATTAGATGGTAGCTCAATAAGTCATACGTTGGGAAATGCACACATTTTACATCATTTGTCTTTCTTGCAATACAAATAGGATCTCATCAACATTTTCATGTTCTGAAGCAGAAACGCCGGCAAAGCAGTTACTTTGAGTGGTGAAATAAAGAAAATAGAAAAGCCAGTGGATAAGAACGTGTAAGCAGAACAATTTGTGAAACCTGCCACAGTTATATATATATATATGAAGAGGAGATGAAAACATGTGGGCAGACATGGAGCCAGATGAAGACTCTATCAGAGAACCGAACGCAATGGAGACGCACGGCTGAAGCCCTATGTTCCTCTAGGAATTAAAGGATACAATAATATATATATATATGAACGAATCAATAAAAGCATAATATGAAGTTAATAACATGTTTTCAGGCATTTTTATCAAACAAGTCTTACGGGGTCCTTGACGTTATGTTTTTCATACAGGATCTTACCACCAGGTAATCCATAATTTCTACTTAAACTTGAAAAATTTGGTGGTAACCATGGTAAACGGCTTTTTGGAGATACACCCCAACGATTATTCATTTTATAACTTTCTAATTCTATTATACCTGATTGCCATCAATAGGTATATTCCATTTTATAGTATGCGTTTGTTACATGAATTCATTATATTCACCATAATTAATTTGAATTGGATAATATCGGTAAACGGATATCATGTGTTCAGATCAATAATTCAGTAAGTGAAAATGTGTCCTAAAACAGACATTTTGTAATTTATATGTGTTTGACTTTATCTTGCTAATTAATGTCATCATCTTAAAGAAAATAGATTCTAACAACTTGTTTTTGAAAGCTATTAGTTCCATTTGTGAATTTTGATGAAACAGGAAAATATTATGAGGTATTTCCCGTTGATTAATTATATTGAACTGACTGAAATGTTAGGTCTGTGTTGACATGTGTAACGATAGTGTCACGTCCTGATGTGTTTACCAGCTTAGAAAAGGAGAACCCATATACCTCTGCAATTCAGGACTACAGAACACATTCTGAAGTGGCTAAAAGAATAGATCAAAATCAGCAGATTTAATTAACTCTGGAAATAGAACATACCGTGAACAAGTGATCATAAGGTAGATTCAGGAAGTGTCTTTAAACCCATATTGAAAAGATGTTTGGGTCATATACTTAAATTCGTTGAAGTCATTAGCCATGAAAAAACTCAAACCTGTCTTATATGTTCGATAAATCATTTGCTTTTATTTTTTTCTGCATGAGTCGTGATCAAGATCTGACTGAACAGTTCCACAGTAATTGGGCGCCGAGTGAGAAGTAGATACATGTGGAAATTATATTTTTAAAGTCTCAGCGAAATTAAATGAATAATTCTAGTAATTCAGTAAACTGGTCTGAAGTTCTCCAGATCCCATCTTTCTACCTCTTATCGGCGTTTGTGACCCATAAACATTATGACCTACACTGAAAAAAATTTGATGTTGCATGATATGATATGAATATGTGTGAAAAGTACTTGTTTGATCAAAATGTCTGAAATGTGCTGCGCAAATACACATAACACGTTCCAGATAAATTACATTTTATTGTTTTCAGTGGAATATAGGGCTTCAAGCTTAAGCCATGAACTTTCAATTATGATGCTGTATTGGTGACGTTTCTAGTCCGCACAGCCTTTCCTTCTTTCCGGGATTACTACCGGCTAGGTGAGTTTTAGGATTGCACCAGCTTGGAGTTGAACCCAGACTATGTAATGGGTTGGCGAGCACTTCATCTTTGAACGGCCGGTAAACTAGGGTCGAACCCACGACCTTCAGGTTGTGAGCCAAGATCAATGACCATTTGGCCACTCAAACTTATTACTACGTTCTATCTGTGAAATCGGCCATCCCTAGATCACTAGAGAGTGATAGCGTCCATCTTTCTATCTCTCTGTCACTTTCTAGACTAACCAGGATCTTGATATTTACTAGCACCAATAATTAATTGAAATGTAACCTCTGAGTGACGCTTAGATACATGAAAGCTTCTTCAAGGATCATAAAAACATATTTTTTGCATTCTCATTAAGCTGAGTGTAGAATACAGTGTAACAGTCTGTAAATATATAATGTATTTCAATCCGGCAGTGTGTATGATAAATATGCTTACGTTATATGAGGAAATGAAGCAACAAGCTATTATTCATGGAAAAGAAACAGGGTTATTATTATTATAACTACGATATTGAAAGACTGCTTTCTCAGTCCTAAACATATGAAAAGGTGAACTGATATGAGACTATTTAAGTTTAGCTAATCGATTTAGAAAACTCAAAGTGATATGGTTCAGTTATGTTGCTGTCTAGTACTGTGACCTCATACAGGCTTAATGTTCTCTTCACATTATTTCATATATTTTGTCAACTGAAATATTCACTTTTATTTGTTCTCGTACTTCTTTGCTTTGGTAGGCGCTCAACTGCTGCTACGTGACCAAGTGGATATTGTTTTTCATTTCATACAGAATTTCGAGCTAGTGTTTATTTGTGTGACACATGTGATAAACAAAATAATGTTGAATTACCTGTTTTCATAGCTACAGAATTCGAATCTGTCACATATCAGCTTTTATCACATATCTGACCAATAATTACCTTCAAAATGCTTTTGCTGCCTGTGTGAAAGGAAGATATCTAAACGCAAAAATATCCATCAGGATAAGCTCCCGAATATAACCACTTCGATGTGCGTATATCACTTAACCTGCTTCTGTGGAGCTGTGTGCACAGGTCGTTTTACGCTCATCTTTTCAGAATGTGTTAGATAACAACGCCTAGCATGACTGAAAAGGGGCAAGGCTGGTTTAGTCAGTGGTGCTTTAACCGGGTTCCTCATCAGCACCTGTCACAACGTCTCAGCAGACTAAGCATTTAGAGTCACTTACAGAGTAGGCAGAAATCTACCAAAGACAGTGTGTTTCTGACTTCTTTATCCTGCAGAAGCCCTTACCATATTCTTGAAGAAGCCGCCGCTATGTGTTCAAAAGAACCTAAATGAATCTCTACATCTACCATGGATTCACTCCTATTTAACTCCTTATTTATTCTCTTCCACCCCCTTAATGTTTTCATCTTCAGTTATAAAATCTATATAATCTCTAATTCTATGCCCAATCTGTTCAAATTTGTCATCATTAAAAAAACTATTTTGTATGTTACGCAACTATCTTCCTGATTCCATAAAAAACTTTTTCTATGCCACTTGTTATATATATATATTCATCCTTTATCACACCTCCAGACTTTTATATCAGGTTGAAAGGTATCTCCCTTAGTCTCTCTCGTCGTTACTCTATTGAAATTAAATAACTATTGTAACTATGCGAATTTGTGCACAAAAGGGATATTGTTCAGCTTGTGAGGATGAAATCGCCGAAAGATACCTTTTCTAAGTTTCCTATTTTTCCTCTCTTTAGAATCACTTTAGCAAATTCTTAGGTACCTATCATGTGGCCGAAATAATCACTTATACTAAAGGCTTTCCAAATAAAACTGCAGGGTATAACGCTCATCAATAAAGTTAATCAGTTGATGATATTGATTACAGTATAGTAGTTCCTAATTCATTTATAGATGATGAGTGTTTGCCCTAACTTTTTCCCATGATAGTTGAAATATATTCCATTCAACTATTTACGGCTAATTAGCTGTGACCCGATATGAATAACCCTTGTGGGAAAGAGGAAAACATATTTTTTTACTGTCAGCTGATTGTTGTCTTCATACTCTGTTGATTATTGAGTTAATACTCAGCTGAATATTTAATAACACAAGTTTCTATACGATTTAAGGGTCGTTCAATCCTGGAACTACTGATTTCTATCTTGTGGTTATCAGTAGGTTGTCTTATTAACTAGCAAAATATAAATGGTGAACTTATTCTCACTTTGATTCATCATTTCTGTGTTCTGTGAGGTGAATGGTTTGATTTCTAAGTTTTTATTGTTCCTCCAGCACTAACTTCATTATAAAGTGACCTTTAACAATTCTTCGTGGACGAAATACCCAGACACGTGTATAAAGACCGAAATTAACGAGTCGAAAAACAATAACCCTCAAGTCTGGAAAGTTAAATGTTGAGTCATCGAGACGATGAGTTGCAACTAGTCACATTCAAGATCACCAGGAGAGACGGATATGTCATCTGTGAGTAATTTCGAAAGAAAGAGGCACAAACAGCGAAGAAAATTTTCTTTTCGACGATTCATTTTCATGAGCTGTACAATCGTAATTATAATTAACAAAGAAATCTTTAGACCAATCAGATACTGGTAAATTTTGTCCTTGGAAAATTGTATTACACAATGTAAGGTGTAAGAAGGGATGACTAATTGTAAGTTAGAAAGGAGACAGAAGTTGGCATGACGTAATAAGTGTGAGATAGTGAATAATCAATAATCTCGTGTAAAATGGACAGGAACTAGTGGAAAGGCTATAAAGTGTTTTTGTATAAAATATGTATGAAAAACAATGTTATTAATAAACAATAATAGAGTGGTAATAAAATGTGGATGATGGGGACAAAATGATAAAAATATTAATAAAATAAAATAATAATGGTAATAATAGTGAACTTACATAATAAAGGAAGGAAGCAAAATTGTGACAAGAACTTTACTCTGGCCATGGTAAGGCTAGAGAATGTATGTATCGCTTTTGTATGCAGAGGTCCGGTTTTAGATCTCGAATAGCTAATGCTTCAGCTATGTACAGATGGCGAATCCGAAGTCCCTTTGTACGATATTGAGGGACCCTGTGTAACACTGTGAAGCATTCATGTGGGGGTGCTCGATGTCCAGAGATGACAAGGTGTTCGAGGATCGAGCTGTTGCTATTCTTCTTTTCTCCTCTGGCCAACCAAGCGGGGCAGTGTTCCAGAATACGTTTTTGGACTTGACGTTGCGTACGGCCAATATACTTTGCTCCACACGAGCAAGTAAATTGATAAATACACATTGAGGTGGCCAAAAGCGGTATCTTGTCCTTCACGTTAGACTGGATTAACTGTCTGCAGGAGAATGTGATACGTAGAGTGGCTGTTGGAAATGTCTTCTTCAGACATTTAGAAAGGCGGTTTCTGAGAATTTCAGCTGCGACATCACCTTTGAATTCTAGGTTCATGAAGAGAGTCTTCTTAGGAACCGTTGCGATGTTTGACATCGGAGGCTTCTCCTTCATGTTTTTGTCAATAAATCTTGGTGGATATCCATTCTCTAGTAGGATTTTTCGTAATAAATTTAATTCATTCTCCACCATGTCTTCCGAGCAGATTTTTCTAATGTACTACTCACCAGACGACACGATGGTACGATCCAAAGATCAATATACCGCAAGCCAACATGGACTGGACAGTTTATCAACTTTCAGAGCTTCGTCCCACTAACCCGAAAGAGAAACCTGATACGTACGTTGAGCTCAAGGATTAGAAAAATCTGCTCGGAAGACATGGTGGAGAATGAATTAAATTTATTACGAAAAATCCTACTAGAGAATGGATATCCACCAAGATTTATTGACAAAAACA